AAAAAAAAAAAAGAAAGAAAAAGAAGAAAAAGTGTAAGTAATAAGATTGACGCCCTAAAGGAAGCAAGGATCATAGAATCTCTGGGGCATATTTCTTGTTTTTTCCCTCACCCTGTCTTATGGAGTAGAAGGCCTGCTATTTCAACCCAACCAATGAGGAAGTGTTGAAGTAAAATGTCACATTACACTTCTTGTTTTCTGCTGAATCCACAGTGCCTGCGTCTGGTTAAACAGTTACTAAGTGACACCCGGGACACGGTTTTCATTTAGTTTCAACAATGGCTGCATCTAGGACCTTTCACCAAAATCTAGGTTAAATATGCCTAAATCTCTGGACTTGGTTTCCTACATATGAAGTATGTAATACCCAAAATTCTTTGGTAAAACATGATGACTGCTTTGACAAAGACAACTAGTTTTGTCTAATAAGTTGATTTGTTCAGTCGATAAATATTGGAGGGGGAGAAAAACTAGGTTAACAACAGTAGGGACAAACCCAATGGGTTAAAAATAGCACAAATCTATTTTAGATCAGTAAAGTGAAGGCTGAGGATACAGGCAAAAATAACAGCCACTACTTAGGAGACACCTCCTTAGCAATCCACATCCATTATCTCACTTAATCTTCACTACTAACCTAAGGGGGAGGTATCTGCATCCCCACATCCCTCACACAGGTGAGGAAATTCAAACACATCAAGGCCAACTCACTGGCACAATATTACACCGGCAGCAGCAAAGATGGCGCTGGAACTGAGGTACCTCCAAAGTCAGGGTTCCCTTAAGTGATGGAAATTCCATATGGGCGTGGTGGCTCACACCTGTAATCCCAGCACTTTGGGAGGCCCAGGCGGGTGGATGTCTGAAGAGTTCGAGACCAGCCTGGCCAACATGGTGACACCCTATCTCTACTAAAAATCCAAAAATTAACCGGGCGTGTGGCAGGCGCCTGTAATCCCAGCTGCCAGGAAGGCTGAGGCAGGAGAATCGCTTGAACCCAGGAGGAGGTTGCAGTGAGCCAAGATCGCACCATTGCACTCCAGCTTGGGCGGCTAGAGCAAAACTCGGTCTCAAAAAACAAAACAAAACAAAACAAAACAAAACTAATATAGCCAGTACCAGGGAGAACGTTATCTTTTTAAGAGGGTGGCTGATACTGCTGTAATTAAGACTTAGCACGGTGAACGCACAGAAACTTGCAAACAACTTCTGCCCTACCCTATATGCTGGGAAAGAAAACTAAAATCCACCTCTAGGCTGCCGGCACGAACAGGTGGTCAATATGCATCCGCGGCCGCCGCCCCCGCCTCTCCCGCATCTTCCCGGCTCACCTGCACAGCCCTCCCCTTGCAAAAACATCTGCACTACCAAAACTCCTAACAACCCAAGTGGTCCTAAGAGCCACTACACTGCAACCAGGAGGCGTCAAGACAGGAGTCTACGGGAAGGGAAGGCTGTGTTTATCAAGAGCAGCAGGAACCTGGTGGAGAGGTTTCCAAACAGTGTAGGGGAATTGGCTTCGCTGAGACGCGAGTAGCGGGAGGTGCAGTGGACTGGGATTCGAGAGACCCACAGTGGGGTCTGACGCCTCAGCCAGCGTGACCTTGGCTAGGCGCCTTCTTTCCTCTGGGCCTCAATTCCCTCCAAGCCAGGGTTGACCTCGGATGTGAAAAGCGGCGAAGCTGGTGACTGCCAGGTGATGAGTGACCCTGGGGGAGCGGGAGGCTAGTCCCAGGGTCCGCGCTGGCGACGGGGGTGGGGAGGCCGGTAAGGGGTCCGCGAGGCAGGAAGGGGCTGGCGTGACGCTGGAGGCGGCGAGGGGGTGGGGCCCCGGACTACGGGCTCTCCAGAGGATTCCCGGGTTAGGCCTAGCGCCGGGACCCTTAGAATCGGGGAGTAGGGTCATGTGGGGGCAAAGGGTCACGTGAGGCTGGAGGGGGTTGGGGTCACGTGAGAGGGGGGTTTAAGAACAAAGGGGGTGAGGGTAGCGAGGAGCGCTCCTGTACCTCCCGTCTCCTCTCTCAGCCTCACTCACCCCCATGGCGGCGGCGGCAGCGGCGGCGACCCTTAGCTCCTTCCTCACACACTTGCCGTCAGGGAGGCGGTAACGGCGGCGGCGGAGGTGGCGGCGGCGGCAGCGGCAGCGACAGCAGCAGAGCGGCGGGCCCCGCACCGCGCATGCGCCTCGCAGCTCCCCCGCGCGCCTGGGTACCGCGCCGGCGCAGAACCGGGGTAGGGGCAGCGGGAAGCCGGCGCGCAGGTGGAGCGCCCGCGAGGCGGGCAGAGGGTCTCCGACCAGGAGGCGGGAGCGAGGAGGAGCGTCGCGCCAGGAATGACGTGCGCCCCAGGCCCGCCCCCTCACTGGGTTGCGTCTGTAGCTATGGCAACGGCGGCGCCAGGCCAGGCTGTTCACCCCGGCCTCAAGCCGCAGCGCCGCTGGGGGCCGGTTGAGTGGCAGCAACTCCCCTGAGGCCCACGTCTCCTCGGCCCCGCGCGTAGCAGCCGGCGGCACAGCTACCTTCCCAGGCGGCCAATTGCATCCCGACCTCTGAAGTACCTGCCCCTCCCGAGCCCCCTCGCGCGCAGCGGAAGTCTTTGGAAACTTTCCCACCTTCCAGATCTTGATTCTTCAAATTCCTTTTCTAACCAGAGTCCTGTTACTCATTCATTCGCCTTGTAACCATTCATTCGCTTTCCATTCATCACGTTCTCAATAAACATTAACTGGCACCTACACGGTGCTGAGCCTAGTGGGCACAGAGAGAAGAGAGGTGCCATCGCAGCACCACACCTCACGGTTTAGAGGGGAGACGGGCACGTAAGCACTGTTTAGGAGAGAGTGGATGGTGCTGTTAGAGTGAGACACCAGGCATCCCTGACAGTTTTAATTTCAACCCATCCCCAGCACACCGGATTGACCCGCACCTGACCCGAATCGAAACCGCCAGGGGCGCTTCCGCAGTGTGCACACCACTGAGATCTACCCCAGAATCTCCCAGGGTCGAGCCAGAGTCTTCACTTCCTAGTGCTCCCCAGGTAGGGTCTTAGACACGAAAATTAGAGAAATGCTGCCCAACACTTCAAGCTTAATGGACTTTTTCAGGTTTTGCTCATTACATCTTTTTTTTTTTTTTTTTTGAGATGGAGTGTCACTCTTGTTGCCCAGGCTGGAGTGCAGTGGCACGATCTCAGCTCATTGCAACCTCCGCCTCCAGGGTTCAAGCGATTCTCCTGCCTCAGTCTCCCGAGTAGCTGGGATTACAGGCGTGAGCCACCGTGCCTGGCCGACCCTATCTCTAAAAAAAATAAAAATAAAAAAATGGGCCAGGATGGGTGGCTCATGCCTGTAATCCCAGCACTTGGGAGGCTGAGGTGGGCGGATCACCTGAGGTCCCGAGTTCGAGACCAGCCTGACCAACATGGAGAAACCCCCGCCAGGCGTGGTGGTGCATGCCTGTAATCCCAGCTACTAGGGAGGCTGAGGTAGGAGAATCCCTTGAACCCGGGAGATGGAGGTTGTGGTGAGCTGAGATCTTGAACCCAGGAGGTGGAAGTTGTAGTGAGCTGAGCTGAGATCGTGCCATTGCACTCCAGCCTGGGCAATAAGAGCGTAACTCTGTCTCAAAAAAAAAAAGAAAGAGAGACAGGGTCTCCTGGTCACCCAGGCTGGAATGCAGTCGTGCATTCACAGCTCACTGCAGGCTCGACCTCCTGGGCTCAAGCAGTCCTCTCGCCTCAGCCTCCTGAGTAGCTAGGACTACAGGCATGCACTATCACATGCAGCTAAAATTTTTTTAATTTATTTTTTGTTGAGATGGGGTCTCACTGTGTTACCCAGGCTGGTCTCAAACTCCTGGGTTCAAGCGATCGTCCCACTTTGGCCTCCCAAAGTGCTAGGATTACAGGCATGAGCGACTGTGCTTAGTCTCATTATTCCAACTTTAGTGCTCAGTGCAAATTCACTACTGTATGTTCCAAGCAGCAAGGAAAACAATAAAAAACAGAATTGACACCACTCTTGTATCCTAAAAGGAGACCAGTAATAGATGAAATAAATAGGTAATATACATAGTAAATTAAATAATACAGGCTCTAGAAGGAAGAAAAAGCAGAGAGAGAGGACAGGGAAGGTCAAGATTCATAGTTTTGGCCGGGCGCTGTGGCTCACGCCTGTAATCCCAGCTCTTAGGGAGGCAGAGGCGGGAGGATAGCTTGAGCCCAGGAGTTCGAGACCTGCCTGGGCAATATAGTGAGACCTCGTTCTCCACAAAAAGGAAAAAAACAAAAAGAAAGAAAAAAAAAAGTGTAAAAGATTCATAGTTTTGGACTGGCACAGTGGCTCACACCTGTAATCCCAACACTTTAGGAGGCTGAGACAGGTGGATTTCTTTTTTTTTTTTGAGACGGAGTTTCACTCATGTTACCCAGGCTGGAGTGCAATGGCGCGATCTCGGCTCACCGCAACCTCCGCCTCCTGGGTTCAGGCAATTCTCCTGCCTCAGCCTCCTGAGTAGCTGGGATTACAGGCACGCACCACCATGCCCAGCTAATTTTTTGTATTTTTAGTAGAGACGGGATTTCACCATGTTGACCAGGATGGTCTCGATCTCTTGACCTCGTGATCCACCCGCCTCGGCCTCCCAAAGTGCTGGGATTACAGGCTTGAGCCACTGCGCCCGGCCCAGGTGGATTTCTTGAGCTCAGGACTTCAAGACAGCCTGGGCAACACAGTGAGACCCTGTGTCTATAAAAGAATACACACACAAAAAGTAGCCAGGCATGGTGGTGTGCGCTTGTGGTCCCAGTACTTGGGAGGCTGAGGTGGGAGGATTGCTTCAGCCCAGGAGGTGAAGGTCGCAGTGAGCCGATAGCACCACCGAATTCCAGCCCGGGTAACAGAGCCAGATACTTTCTCAAAAAAAAAAAAGGAGATTTATCGTTTTTTTATTCCAGGAACATGTGCACTTTATTGAACACCATCGTAGAAAAGTGTGTGAGGATCTGAGTCGTGGCACCAAGAAAAAAAAGAAAAGTGTGTGAGGATAAAGGGCTGATACAGGACTCAGCTCGGGGGCAGGGCGAGGAATGGAAGGTGGAGTATGTGGGAAACAGGTCACAGGCAGAGCTCCTGGCTGGGATGATGCCTCTTGATCTGTTGAGAGACTTGCAAGATCAATACTGCGATGATGATCAGCAGAATGCTCATGATGATGCCCCAAAATCAGGGCCCAGATGTTCAGGCACTTGGCGGTGGAGGCGTAGACCTGGGTCCCAGTCAGGTCACCAACTATCTTCCTGTCCCTAGACTTCACAGAGTAGGCGAATGCTATGAAGCCCAGGCAGCAAGAGTTCATGAAGAGGGTGTTGAACAGGGACCAGATGACATGGTCGGGCGCGGAGGTCTTACTGTGGATGTGGATCATGGTGGATGTTGGGGGAGCCTGGTTGTAGGGCACCCCCAGCACAGCCACCTCATGCTCCTCCTTGAGATGATCAAGGAGGAGCATGATGTGGCTCCTCCTTCGGGGGGACGGTCAGTGTTGGCGGGAGTGAAGAAGGTTTGGACAGTGTAGTTCATGGTGTCCAGGGAAGACCAGCTGCGGTCGGGTTGCTGGGATGGTTCTCAGTGGGTTAATTTGTAGTTTTAACTAGGATGCTCAGGAAAGGCAAAAATGGGGTGATACTTGAGTCAAGATCCAAAGATGAGGGAGCAAGTAATGAGAATGTCTGGGGGAAGGGCATTGTGGGGGCAGGAGGGTACCAGAAACACCCTGGCTTCTGGGTTGAGATGGGAATGTAGGGACAAGCTCAAAGGAAGGACAGTGGCCGGGCCCAGTGGCTCATGCCTGTAATCTCAGCATTTTGGGAGGCTGAAGCAGGTGGATCATGAGGTAAGAGATCAAGACCATCCTGGCCAAGATGGTAAAACCCCATCTCTACTAAAAATACAAAAATTAGCCAGGTGTGGTGGCGGGCACCTGTAATCCCAGCTACTCGAGAGGCTGAGGCAGGAGAATCACTTGAACCCGGGAGGTGGAAGTTGCAGTGAGCTGAGATTGCGCCACTGCACTCCAGCCTGGCAACAGATCAAGACTCAGCCTCAAAAAAAAAAAAGGCCGGGCGCAGTAGCTCAAGCCTGTAATCCCAGCACTTTGGGAGGCCGAGGCGGGTGGATCATGAGGTCAAGAGATCGAGACCATCCTGGTCAGCACAGTGAAACCCCGTCTCTACTAAAAATACAGAAAAAAATTAGCTGGGCATGGTGGCATGTGCCTGTAATCCCAGCTACTCAGGAGGCTGAGGCAGGAGAATTGCCTGAACCCAGGAGACGGAGGTTGCGGTGAGCCGAGATGGCGCCATTGCACTCCAGCCTGGGTAACAAGAGCGAAACTCCGTCTCAAAAAAAAAAAAAAAGGAAGGACAGAGTCTAGGCTGGGCGTGGTGGCTCATGTCTCTCTAATCCCTACCTTTTGGGAGGCTGTGACAGGTGGATCACTTGAGGTCAGGGGTTCCAGACCAGACTGGCCAACATGGTAAAATCCCATCTCTACTGAAAATACAAAAATTAGCCCAGCTGATGGCAGGCATCTATAATCCCAGCTACTCGGGCGGCTGAGGCAGGTGAATCGCTTGAACCTGGGAGGCAGAGGTTGCAGTAAGCTGAGATCGGGCCACTGCACTCCAACCTGGGCAACTCTGTCTCAAAAAAAGAAAAAAAAAGGAAGGACAGTCCAGAGGCCACTGCTATAATCAATACAAGAGATGAAGCCTCCATGGCTGACCAGCAGCGGAGGTGGGAGAAGGGCATTGAAGGCAGAGCCTACAGAACTTGCAGATTGGATGTGGGGTGTGAGGGAAGGAGCAGAGCCAAGATATCTTCATGGTTTTTAGCCTGAGCTGCTGGAAAAATGAAGTGGCTCCAGTGGAGACGTGGATGACTTTGAAAGGAGCTGGCTTGAGTACAGGGAAGATTGGAATTGTTTAGGCCAGTTCAGGTCTGAGTGCTTTTTAGACATTCTTCTGGAGATGTGGGATAGTCAGAGTTGAGCTCAGGAGAGGGGTCCGTGCTGGAGATAAAAATTTCAGTGCAGTCAGCACATAGATAATATTTAAATTGGTGAGACTGGCCGGGTGCCATGGCTCACACCTGTAATCCCAGAACTTTGGGAGGCCAAGGCAGACAGATCTTTTGAGGTCAGGAGTTCGAGACCAGCCTGACCAACATGGTAAACCCCATCTCTACTAAAATACAGAAAAAACTGAGCCGACCGTGGTGGTGGGTGCCTGTAATCTCAGCTACTTGGGAGGCTGAGGCAGGAGAATCATTTGAACCTGGGAGGCAGTGGTTGCAGTAAGCTGAGATCGTACCACTGCACTCCAGCCTGGGTGACAGAGACTCCTTCTCAAAATAAATAAATAAATAAATGGA